ATGCTTGAAGAGGCCGAAATACTGCGCATGCCAGTGATTTTGACCCTCGGCCGATGTGATAACCCATGCCACGACCCTGACTCCGGGCACTTGGCGAAGGCTGCGCGAGTTTAGACTATAGCTCATGTGCTCAAGCCGAGGACTCACTGGACCCATAAACTTTCTGGTGCCGGCATGTGCCCATGCTTTCCCTGAGAATTGCAGAACGTAATTGCAGACGGGTGTAGTGGTTCATGGGGCATATATGCCTGCAATGCACGCTCGAGCTGCGTCACCAGGTCAAAGAGAGTTATCCTAGCAGGCAATTTGTCCTAGAAGTCTTATTTTGCTTTATCATTTAGCTAGAGGCGAATATACAAGCATCAAATTCTTCGGCTCTTCTCTTGTTGCTAGAGATAAATAAAAATGCTCGTGCATGCGTGATTAGACGGGAGGGCATTGTTATTATCAGGATGGGAGGGAGCTACCCCACATGGTATCCTCATAATTTAGGGTTTAGGGTTCAGGGTTTAGGGTTTATCCTCATAATTTAGGATTTAGGGTGTAGGAGGCTCCCGATTCGACTTGTTTGCAACTTCTGTGGGTGAGGCCTGGAGAAGAGACCTGAACTGAATGGCTCCTGCGGCCGGCTCGCTGTCCGGTCCCATATAGGGGTTTCCCAAAATTAGGTGTACCGTTTGGTGGGCCCCTATATTAATAAGGATTATAGTATTTTGGGGTCTATATTGGCGTTCCCCTACCTCAGGAAACTACCATATAGACTTTCATGTAGAAACCCTATGGGCCTATGAGGTTTGCGTTTAGGATGTTTAGGGGTTAAAGCCGGGCGTACACAGACATTTTCAAAGTAGCTGGGATGATGGCATAGGAATCCTTCACCAGCCCGTAGGCCTTTGTGCCAAGAGTATCTTCTCCATTTTGTGTGCGAATGCGTGAGTCTAGCATGGCAGCAATCAAATCTGCAATGCTTGTTCAAGGAGCATATTGGGATCTGATGCTGAGGGGTGATGGGATCTTGTGTAAGGATCCATGTGTGGTGGATACTTTGGTGAGGCTTTGACACAACACGAACTCCTTCTGCAGCGGCAGACATGTGCCTAGGGGGCCTAGAGCCTTCGGTGACTTGCGGCTATCTCTGTAGCTTTGCAGGATTGACTTCAAGCAGCGGGTATTGAGCGAGGTATGGGAGGCTTAGGTTTGCCAATATACTCAAGCGGAATGAATGCGCATCTTTTGCTGCAGCAGCGGCTCAGACATGGGGGCGAGGGCATGGCGATGCCAGAGCCACAAGCTGCGGTTGCAGTGACCAGGCCCTGAAGATGAAAGTTAGGAAAGACTGGCCAGGGCAGGTCAGGCTGCATTGTCAGATGAGGGTGGGATGAATCGCATGAATACTATCTATCTATAGGATCAAGCCATCCTCATGTAAAGTTCAAAGCCCTGAGTGGCTAGACCAAAGACCAACGCGGATCCCTGAAAGCAGCAGGTCTCCTGTCACAATTCGGAACCTTTTCCCCTCCAAGGTATCCTACCGAGTGGGTCAGGCCGTGCAAGTGCTCTCCAAGTCCAGCAACGCAGCTCCACTGCAGCCGGCATATACGGATCTGTGTAGCTTCGGGAAGTGTTGTTTCAATTTTGGGTGGTGCAAGGGCTGGCCGACGGAACCTTTGGAGCACACAGATCGCAAAATGGAATATGCACCTTCGATCAGTGTCCGATCAGTTAGAGTGCAGTCCATAGGGTCCAAGGCCTCATTCCTCAGGTCAAGATGAGCTTCTTGCTCGCATCGTGCTTGCTTGTGAAGGCAACAGTTGGGAGCTTTGTTGTCATCGACCTCCTGCTGCACAGTCCCCCCACCCACATGTAAACCATCCATCAGCATGGCTTTCGAGGATCTTTCAAGGATCCCCTCACTAATATGGCAATAATAAATAGTAAGAATAAGAGGCTGGAACGAAGATCTGATCAAGCAGATGCCAGGTATCAATCTGCTTGGAGCCACAGACTGCCAAAGAATCGGGCGGTGTGGTTTTCTGGGTTGCTGCTTGGGAACTTCAATTAGCATACCATAACGGGTATACATAGAAATTGATATGGTTTCCCCAATACAGTAATTGAAATTCAGTCCCTTAACAGCAACCCAGTTTTGCAGGCAATCAAAAAGCGTAGTTGGGCTGTCAAGTAAATGGACTCGTTTTTGTCGCCCGCAAAATCCGGGATTGTTTGAATCTTGTTGTCCGCCTGACTCCAAGGCCTGGGTAGATGCCAACATCCACCAAATACTGCCTGACAAGGGCATATGGGTCCGGCTTCCTGGCATGTGATTCGACATGCTGCCTCCGAGGTGAAGATCACCAGGGTTCAGATTGAGGAAGGTTGAAGTGACAAGCATAAGCAGCACATCATTTGAGCAAGGGCATGCAGTACACCACACGGAGGGTCTGCTTTGAGATGGAATGTTCATGCTAGTTGTGCCTCTGCACAGGCCTAAGCCTGACACTCATCCAATCGTGGCTGTGGTCTACCAACAGAGGTACGGAAATTCACACAAGGTGATCCCGCCCGAGCTGCTTGGATTATGCCTCAGGACGCTCCACCATGAATGTGGTAGCTGCCAGGAATTTAAAGGACCATTGTGCTTTTAAAGGACCTTTGTGCTTTCCCTCGTCAGTGTGCTGTAGGCCTGGCCTTTGTCAAGGACAATGTTCACGTCATAGTTAGAAACCCCCTCCCCTTCCCGACCCCCGAGGATGTTGGCCCAAGCCTCCGTAATTAAGGGTTTCTAGGTTCATGAGCTGGAGCTCCAGTCCTCGTAGCCAATAGGAGTGCTAGCCAGTAGTACACATAGCTCTTCCAGTGTTTTTTTTGCATTTTGGCAACTTGGATTTGGCAATCACGGCGGGGGGGGGTGTAATTACACTCCGGGACTTGGATTTTGCAATTATGCGGGTGTTTATGAATATGAGGTCAACATTACACTTACCCTAAACCCTAAACCTAGAGGTCTCGACACCTACGTCCTACGTAATTTTCAGGAACAGCGAAAAGCGATCTACAACTTTAATGCGAACTCAGGCTGCAAGCAACGGCACTGCGCTGCAAGGTTGCTAAGGCAACCGTTGAGTATGCGATCAGTCAGCGCGTGCAAGTGCAGCTTGGCTTCGTTGAGAGGCCTGCATGCTGAATATGCAATCATGTGCCATCGCCGGCAATTTGTTCTTTACAAATCGTGCTGTGTGTCTGCGGGACTAGAAAACCAGGGGCGGACAGGAAAGCCTTGCACAGCTTCCGAACTGTTTGCAGACTCGGGGCGCGCTCCTGCCGTTTCGGCTATCTTGTAATGTATCTGTGTCGAGCATTGCTCACCTGATATTTCCCACACTCCTCCAAGGTTTTCCAAGACCAACCAGCAGTGGGTCCCTGGCATCGTTCGTGAGATTTGGCCAGATGGTTCTGTGCATGTCCAATACGAGCAGGCGCAGTACCCGGGCTGCACCGCAAAAAGACCAGGGAATCGTTTTTTGTATAGTATTGCATAGTATGGTACAGTACAGTATAGTAGATATAGTGTATTATCTTATATCATAGGAAACTATTGTATACTACAGTAGAGCATTAGCATTAATAAGATCTTGAGCTCCAAGTATTGTCACACCCATCAGGCTGAAGCCTCGATAGACTTTCACCGAGACATGCTGCTGTCGCCTTTCATTTGTCTGTGGTGTATCGTGCTATGTGAGCTATAATCTAAACTCCTTAAAGTGGGGTCATATAGGGGAGTATATGGGGGACTACTCTAGGGGATGTTGAGGGGGATACGAGGCGTTGAGGGGATAGCTCATATGAACAGTTCCCAGATTAAGCGTCCCATTTTAGTACCCCTAAATAGTAGGTGCCAGAATATAATCTATGACCCATAGGGGTCCATAGTTTGCAGAATAACCCATACGGAAGTGAGCTGGGGGTGTAATGCGGCTTGAGGTGTCACCTTGCATCACACTGCTACTGTAGCTGGTTAGGTGCCGAAATATACTCTATAACCAAATGGGGTCCATAATCTTGAGAACAACCCATATGCACGCATATACATGCATTCATACAGCTATGTTTATGTGTACATGCGTGTCTATAGGTGTCGAAGTCATGTTGTCTAGGGCCGTATTGTCATCATGAGCTAGGAAAAGCCGCATGGGCCATTGTCTAAATTCCTAGCATCCCCCTTAGTAACCCTTCTGGTAGCCCCCTATATAATCCCCTATATCCCCCCATGAATGATTTTGACTATATATAGCTCACATGGCAATAGCTCGCTGACATTTCCTGCCAACACCGTTGTGCCAGCTTAGAGGATGCCATGGTTCCCCAGGTTTAGGGTGTAGTGTTTAGGGTTTAATGGAGAATCAAATGGAGAAGGTGACTGAAAATGAAATGGAAGCTGTTGATTATAGGGATTTCATGAGAAGATTGCCCCAACAATTGGGGATCATAAGGAAAATGTGATGGAACTTGCTATTATGGGGATTAATTATGTGGGGAGATTACCCCAAAGGTGCGGAAAAAGGACATGGAAAATACATATTGTACTGTAGGGGCCTCCATGGTCTTACAGTAATCAGTACCCTTGACAGTCCAAGTTCACTGAGCTTGTTTCCTGGGGCTGCGTCAATATTATATGACATACCTGAGAATCCATAACGCTTTAGACATAGGGTCGAGGGAATCCAGGCATCGATTGCCAAGGCACTTGTACAAAGTCCTGGCTCCGGAGCTTCCTGTCTGCTTTTCAGCCACTGGTTGCTTTTGTACGCTTGTCTGTTTCCTTGTGCACCCAAATAGTGGTCATATCGCTAATCAATGGAAAGGAACATGGAAAACTGATTGAGAGGTGGGGACTGATCAGGGGTGGCATGACAACAGTTGAAGCTTTCAGCTTGCCATAGCTCTCTTAGGCTGCAAGACTCCATGCTGCGGGCTTCCAGCAACCAAGTTGTGGAAGCCGAGACGCAGGAGGAAGGCAGAGACTCCAGGGTGGCTGCGCTCGTCGAAGAGGCAGAGCGACTTAAGGCAACCATAGCAAAGCAGCAGAAAGAGATCAGTGCACTACAGCAAGAGCAGAGGCAGCAGCCACAGCCCTCTGAACCTGCGCATCCGCCTGCGCAGTCGCGGCAGGTGCAGTCAAAGACAAGCGAGCAGCCCCGGCCGCAGCAAGCAGAGCAAAGGAAGAAGCAGACATCAAAGCAAACCGAGCACCCAAAGGAGCAGAATCTCCACGCAGCACAGGACGAGAACTGGACCTGCGCAGTGTGTACTTTTGAGAATGTCGAGCCCCTTATGGAGTGCGAGATGTGTGGTGTGCAGCGTGCCTGCGCCAGTTCACCGCGAAGGAAGCGGCAGAAGAAGGGTCCACCGCCTGGCGTCCTGGAAGTGGATGCTGCGTGGCAAGGCCTTATGCGATATCAGGTAGGTTGTCATTCAGGATCATTCAGGTTTTTGTGCAGGGTGTACATGAAGACCCTTGGGGCATGCCATGAGGTGTGGGACGCCTTGGGGTATTTGTAAGTAGTATAGTTTACAGGATGGCCGGCTTTGTAAGCTGGCGGCACATGAGGCGACAGGAAGGTCGAATGTTGGCGTGAAGCTGTTCAGGGCTCATGAGACCGATCTGCAGGCCCCCACCTCAAGTATGAACAAGTGAGCGGACAAAAATGCCAAAGCCCGGCTACTCTGTTTGGCTTCGCAACCCAGATGTACTATTGAGGGTGAAGCTAGGCAAATCCGCTCCCAACGTTTTCTCCTCACCTTGGGTGAGGGCATGCGTGTGTTAGATTCGTGCGAAGAGAAGACATCATAGACTTCATCCGCCAGGTATGAGGATGAGGACTCTCGCCCTAGGCCAGACTCATACTTCCAGGCTCCTTGCCAAGAGCTTTAACTCTAAACAAACATTTCTTTTCTTACAGAGGAAGTCACCCCAATCTTAGTCCTAGTGTAACTGTTCTCACCAATGACCTGTATACACTTTTGTGCATCCAAGGCTGTGCTGCATGAGGATCTTCCGAACCTGGCCCAGGAGGTTGCCAAGGTAGCCCCAGGTGCTGCCAGAAGGGGCAGGGCTTGCTCTTGGCTTGGGTTTTGGATTGCATGAATACGAGGAGTTTGGTAACCCCAAACCCTCTAAATCAGGACCCTGTTGCAGTCACTCTTCACAGAAAGTCAGCGATCACAGAACCAGGAGCCCCTAAACCCCAAATCCGCAGCCCTAAATCCTATAGTCCTTGATACGCCTACGTAAACCCAATATGCGCCTTAAACAACCCCTTTAGAACCAGTGGTCTACGTAAACCCAATATACGCCTTAAAAACCCCTTAGAACCAGTGGTGCAAGGTCCTGCGGAGTTTCTGCGGTGTGCCACCGCAGTGATCGAGCCTGGGATTGGTTCAGGCTCTGCGTCGCAGGCATGAGCTTCGTCGCAGCCATGGGAGTTTCCCGAACTATGAGAGTTACAGAGAGAAGATGTAGGGATTATACAGGGATTAATCGAAGTTTTGGGGTTCCCCGAAATGACAAAAATGTTTGGATTGTAGAACGCCCAGGTGGTTGTATAGGGGGGGCTCTAATCTTAAGGAACCGTCCACAACAAGTTGTCTGACGGAGCATTGCTTCAAAGCATGCCCCCCACACAACTGCATGGAGTTGGAAGACTACTCGCAGTGTTAGAAGCCGTTGAGGCTGTCAAAATTTTTGCTTGCTCAGCGACAAGCAACATGTATGGCTGACATGCTGATGAGCAGTTAAAAAAATAGGCGGTAGAAGAAAGTTAATTAAATACGGAAAAAATCTCGGAAACCGGCCGCCAACAACTTCCGAAAAGTGGTTCCCACTGCGCGCGCGGAAGCTTTCGCGGAAGCCCTTCGCTTGCGGAAGCTCTTGCGGAAACTCTTTTTTTAGTTCCCGAATCCCGAGCAGACGCTTATGGAAATCAAGGTATAGGAACTTGAGAAGAATCTCGTGAGACAGAGCGAGAGAGAGAAGAAACTTAGCCGTGATGTGCCTGTCCCTGAATCCCAAACCCCAAAATGAAGCTTCCCTTGTACTTGCAAAGCCTGAACAAATGCTGGGCAGGACTAAAATGGGATTCCAAACTATTTATTTATTGTGTGGCTTTATATACTGGATTTTTTGATGAT